TTCGTCCGCCCAATACTCACGGTATTCCGGGTCCCTCAGATTTTCTTAGTCGGACACTCAGGAAGGAGACCGTGTAGCCATACCTGTTTAGTAAGCCACATGCCCCACATCCTTATACGTGGTTAAGGCTGCCTTACGCGGGCGAGTGCGTACGTGGCAATTCGGTTCTCTCGAGATCGCGAACGTACGCGCGTGCGTGCGTAAGGAGCAGTTGATCGATTCCGTGTGCCGGTCGCATTCAACCATAAGTGCAAATACTCTACCAATCACTACATGTCAAAAAAAAAGGGGGAAGGAGGGGGTAATCGACAGTTGGACCTTAGACATCCAAAGTGAGCATTCCTAATCAACCCCGATCTCATAGCCCATGCAGACGAACACTGGTCCGAGACAACACAGGCTGCGCAAAACAGGTCGGAAAGATTGCTAACAAAAGAAAACTGACATTCATTCCATGGATATATACCAAGCAAGCAACAAGGGAAAATCTGAGACAATATACGAGAGAAGTTGAAAAGAAAAGGGCTGCGATAAAGAGATCGGCCATATCAGCATCCAAAATTATACAGATGTACAGAGGAAAAATGAAACGAACAACGAAAAAAGAAGCGGAACAACAAAAAGAAGCCTTATCCCACACCCACACTACTGCTCTCTCTTTCTCGCTCTCTTTCCCGTTGCGGGCAGTCCGTCACCTCGCATCAATACCCACGATACCGGCAGGCCGTCGCCGCGTATCCACACAGAGTTGTCACCCCGCTTAGCCCGCATACGCCCGTCAGGTTCGCCCGTGCGCCACAGTCCGTCGTGGCCTACACGTCAACCCCGCATACTTGGCACCAGCTCGTCGGATCGCCCAACTCTCACACTCACTCACCTTCCAACTTGCTCGTTAGCCGACCCTCATTGATCGCGCTAACCTCAAAATTCTTAGAGAGAAAACTAACCGCGCTTGCGAAATTTATAGCATGCATGCCTGCGCGAAAGGTACGGGATTAAGCCTAGATGGACAGGGAAAGAGGAGAGGAAGTGCCTACGTTTGCATGGCCAGGCCGCGGCGTGGGGGTCGTAGCCACTCTCCATGCATCGATCCGGTCATGCGGGCGCTTCGGCCTATTAGAACAGAGTATGCGAGACGAGAAAGGAGAAGGAAGAAAGCGGGCAACATAGGAGAATCAAGAAAGAAGAAGGATTACAGTTACGATCTCGCCCGCCAAAAGTGACAGTTACACAAGATTAAAGGCGCGACTCAGTCAGAACCCAGTTCCCCGTGCCAGAAAATGCGTGTGAACGTTGCACGAAAAAAAAAATCAGAGCACCTAAATTCCTAGTCTAAGTCCTAATTGCAAAAAGAAATTCCGAGAAGAAAAACAATTTTGAGAGCCTTCGGGGGCTTGACATCAGTTAAAAATTCAAAAATGAAAATTCCCGCTCACTAATAGCGCCAAAATTCCTGATGCTCACAGCAGAACAAGAAAGAAGCTATGGTGCAGTTATTTCTTGCAGCCGTCATGGCGCAGCCATCGAATAGTCGGCGCGGGGCTGTCCCGGCGCTGGCCCAACGAATTCCCTCAAAAACGAAAAAGAAGTGAGGGTATCCATGCAACTTGCCCAACCGAGCCCCGCTTTCCACAACTCACTCCTTTGACTTGTCGTTTCCCCCTCTTAACAGCCCGACGCAAAAAATCGCGTAGTAACAAAAAGTAGCTCGTCACATATGTGACGCCCAGGGGGGTCCAATCTTGAGCAAACTGCTGCTTGCTCGATTCTTCGACGCGTGTCGACTTTTCTAATCGATCGACGACGAGGAGCTCTCTACGTGCCACTTACCGTAAGATAAGAGTGTGGAAGTCATCCAACGTGGCATTCGTGGGCTCTATCCTACAGATTCCCTGGGAAGGGCAATCTAATTACGGACCGAGGGGGTGGGGGGGGATCTTGGGGAAGAGGGGGCATGAAGTGATGAATATCCTGGGTTCCGAGGGCGGGGAGGGGAGTGTAGTGGATGGAACGGTGGATGCGAGGGAAGCGAGGGTACTTATGTTGATGGGGAAGCGAGGCAAGATAGTCGGGATAGAAGGTGGAGATGGTACGGCGGAGGGCAGCGCAAAAATTCTCGTAGTTTTCGCAGGCGGGGATCGTACCAGAGACAACACAATAAACTTTTATGTTATTGTATTCCCGCCAGTTCGCACTAAAGAGAAGGACGTGGAGAAAGAAGGAATCGACGAGGGAGCGAGTGGTAGAGTGCGGGACGATGGTGATCAGGAGACGCGTGGCGTAGAGTTGATGGAAGAGGGTGGGCGGGAAAGGACACCATCCAGCGGGGAAAGGGGGTCAACCCGGGAGTTGACGGGTCATCATGTAATCACAGGGACGGCGGGATAATGACCGGGGACAAAGCCCGATCGCCTGCATTTCTACGAAGGTGAAGGGTAGGGCGGGGTGGGGAAAGGGATGGAGCCGGCGATTCACTCCTCCTGCGGCGGCGGCTTCCTGATCCCTCGACGGTAGCTCCATCGTCTTCGGGCTCCTCGCGCGGTGGCTCTGGATTGAGAGACGAATCTCCCAACAACAGCTCCGGCGGGGGTCCTTCCTCGATCGGCCGCTTGCCTTCCGCCTTTTCTCGTTGCCTTTGCGCTTCGGCTTCTTCTTCTTCTTCACTTCGCCTGGGCCGATTGCCTGGTTCCCCTAGCTCGATCCGTTGTTCCTCCGCTTCTTCTTCCTCTTCCCCTTCCTCTAACTCTTCCTCGGTCTCTTCTTCTCCGAGGTTGTCGGAATCATCCGGATCGGTGCGCGATTCTTCCTCTTCCTCTTCTTCTTCTTCTTCTTCGTCTTCGTGGGCGGTGTCCCACGCGTTTGCTCGTCGGATGGCGGGGTCCCACAACACAAGATCGGTGACGTTGATTTCCAAGTAGAGATCCTGGGACGGGTAGAGACAGTTGTCCGCATCCAGCTCTGTGCACGTGGACCACAACAGATGAGGCGCAAGCGTGCGGAGGAATACGTCGGGGTCGGTCTTGCTGTCGCAGCGTGATAGAATGCCAAGAGGCAAATTCTCCACTAGCTGCGCCAAGAACACCAATAGCTCGCTCGTGATGAGGGCGAGATTTCCCTCCTCCACCTTGCCAAACACTATGCCTAGTAGTTGTCCCTCCGTTTCCGTGCGCCAGGCCTACGCAGGGTTTGGATTGTCCTCTTGGGCAGAAGCTTTTCCTTTCGTGTTCGCCGTTCTGGCAAGAGCGAATCGTTTTCTGTTCGCCTTGCAGTGTTGCAACATGCGCTCGTTAGCCTGCTCTGAAATGGACAACAGATGTCCAATCGGGAGGGGAATGCGGTGATCCAGAGCGCGGACGATGTTCAGAACATCTATTTCCCTAGTAACGAAGGTGGGTCCTCCAGATTCCATTTCTCCTGGAGAGGGTCTCCATTCCGCCACTTCTCGCTGTTCATGGGGGGGTCTAATAGTCCCGATCATTCCCAACCCCGGATATCCTAATGTCACGTACAAGTCTAGCGGAATAAGCTCTGCAGCTTCTTCCGAAGTGGCCAACATACTTCCTCCTCCCTCCATTTCTTCCAACATTGCTCCTACTCTTCCTGGACCATTGGCGATTGGTGTCGCAGCTACTGGGGCGGCTCCAACTCGCGGTTGCGCGGGTCGGTGGGGGCAATCCCAGGCTATATGCCCCGGTTGATGGCACGTGTAACAGACGTTCAGATTGCCAGCAACACCTCCGGCTGCGGGGGCAGGAGTTAATCCTTGTTGTATTGGGGCAGGAGTTAATCCTTGTTGTATTGGGGCAGCTCGTACAGCTATGGGACGCATCGATCTCATCATGGCTTTTATTCAGACACTGTGTTCACGCTGCTCCTTCTTGGTTTCTTGAATCAAGTTTATCAGCGTTTTGGTTAGTTCTAATACAGCAGCTGATTCGTTCGATCGTGCGGGGTTTTCCACTGGTGGTGGGGGCGTAGTCATCACGGGGATAGACATTCCCGTGATCACACTAGGAGCCGATCGTTTAGGTGTGATCTGTTCCAAATAGGTGACGGGGCCTGACATGAATCCCATACTTTCAAACTTGTTTTGCAGTGTGGCCAGCTCGGCCTTGGCCCTAGCCAACTCCGACGAATCCCCCTCTCTGGGGTAGTCTTCTCCTTTTAGGAAACTCGCGGCGAACTTTCGTTCCATTTCTTCCGCGGCGTCCATAATCTGTTGCAGCGTATGAGTGATGGGGGAGAACTGTTTACGCAACTTCGCCCTCATCGTCCGGCTGCGGGGTCCATCGATAAATAAGTTTCTTCCTACCTGCTCTCCTCGCTCAGTTTTCAAAAACATTCGATAGAATCTATTGCGGTATTCCGTAACGGATTCGAGGGGTTTTTGAACCTGATCTTTAATCATGAAGAGAGCCTATTCGGGATGGATATAATCAAATCGATTCAAAAAGTCCCGCTCGAATGTCGGGAGATCAATCCACACATAGGTACTAAACCAATGATGTGCATCTCCTCCCAATCGGGCGGGGACGTTAATTTGTGCTTCGTCATTATCGTACTGCTGTGCTCGGAGCGTGGCTAACCATGCTCCGGCGAGATGATGTGCCGGGTCAAAAAGGTAGAGATCAGTTGGGGCCGCAGGTGCCCGTGCTCGTGGCGAGGGCGTCGGTTGAGCTTGATTGGGATTTTGTTGATTGGCGTTCATGTTGGTCGCCTGCCGAGCACCCGACCTATTTCTTGTGACTATAGGATCGCGTCGCGGCGCGTTTCGTGCTCGGGGGTGTCCTCTGTTAGCCAGATCGCTCTACCTTAATCACCTACCTGTCCAGCCCAGAGCCAGCCACGTGTTGGCTGCGTTACCAACCTCACGCCCAGCGCGACTTCCTGATCGGAGTGGGATGGGGGCCCGGAAATGCGAAAAAGGGGTGTGCCAAGGATTTTAGGAAAGTGGGGATGGAGTCCCAGGTCGGAACTGAGATCTACTGTGGCAAGTTCCAGGGGTACAGGTGCAAAAAGGGGATATACTCAGAAGAGAGGTGGCTGATGTCGTGCAGCATAAGGCAGATGGCATGCGCAGTGCATCCCAGGTTAAAGATCCGGGGCACTTGCTGCTACCACCGTACCGATG